AAGAAAGAATACGATTTAGAAACACGCTGTTTGCCTCTCGTGCTTGCGAGAGCAGAGATACATATGCTAGTCCTATCATAACTGTAGCTAGACTGTCACAATATCCGGCGAATTGAACGCATCAACGACGTTTAGAGTCCTGGACAAAGAGCTAGAGCAAACCTTTCAGAAGACGAAAAATAAGCACTGTCTCTCACTATAGACGAGAGTGTTGCTTCCATGCGCTCACGCAGTGCAGACCAAACAAACTGCAGCTCAAACGGACGCCGTACGCGTCTGCCACTCAATTTGACGGAGCCATTCGAGCCATAGCCATCTCGGAGCGGACGCCCAGCCTCAGCGCCATTAGACAGCCCCGTGTGTGTAAGTGCCGTCGGTAAGAGTCCGTACCGAGCCTGGCCGACGCCCGACGCGGCCCCGAGAGACGCGACTCCGCGACGACCCGCCGTCGGCGTGCGCTGCCAGCTCGGCGGCCACCGTCGACGGCGCGTCGTCCGCGACGGCCGACAGCGTCGCGAGCGGCGCTCGAGAGCGGCTGTTTTTCATAGGCGCTCCCGGCCTCTAATTGACGTTTGGGATGAGCGGGTGGTGGCATTTGAAAGCTGTTAGCTGGCACCGAAGTCGCGGGCCATCACTGAGCCCATTGGCGGGTTCCGACCGCGGCTATGGCCGTGCCGCGCTTCCGACTCGGGTGACGGAGTTTGGCCTACTAACGCTGTCCCTCCCTCTGGGAACGGTCCATCGGCGGATGTGGCTTTCATGTTCTCTCCCAGGATGTAAGAGATTGGGTCTGTTGTATTTTACATCTGGATTTTGAAGCACGGAAATTCACGCTTCTGTAATATCTAAAAAAAATGTGTACATTTCGTTAAGTTTGTTTCAAAATGTCATAATTTCTTGATCTCAGGGACCGAGTTTGTTAGTGAGTCATAGCAAGAGCTCGTTACAGGAAGAATGTCTGATGTCTCACAATTCAAACAAGCTTAGATCAAAGCATTGGTAATAAATGAGCCGAAATAGCTCCTCATTCCATGGCGAGCGGAGTCATTTATTTCACTGTTTGACGTTCAATGTTTGTTGGATACATCACAAAGCCGCGCCCGTTGCCTGCTGCAAAAAAGTGCGACATTTTTGTGTGAACGCTCCCACACAATTTTTCAACGGCCTGAGCTTTATAGTCGTTCCATCTACAATGACCTCAGTTAAAACACATACATTCTAAAAGTGAGGTCACCTGCGAACTGTTGCCCAACCACAGACCTCAACCAATGGACTGCCTGAATACCTAGCCAACAAAATGGCGCTAAAATCTTCCTACTCAAATGCAAAAAAAAATGTGTTCCGCATAGAATCGATTCAGGATATCGAAGTCAACGGCTAATTGAACAAAACACCCTCATCGCCTTTTCCTACTGGCTACTGTTCTGTGCCGCTCCACACCGTCGCCCCTCCCCTTTTCCTCCATCTCAATGGCTGCACACTGCACTCTGCACAACCTCAGTCCCACGGGGCCCTCCACTCGTCGCGACGGCGGCGTCACAACACCCACGCACCACCCCACTCGCCGTCTTCAGCCATTCCGACTCCGCTTCATCATCTTTATCGAGTTGCCGGCGCCTCTATGACTAATCAATCATGTTGTTTTAAGTAAATCGCGCCTCGATTGGCTGCAATTGCAAAGCAAACATCTCCGGGGGAGAGGACCCGCCGCCGCCGTCAGCCGGCTCATCGGGAGGCGATTTTGGCGCATCTGGCGTCTCGGCGACGATCACGACGCGTCTGGCGTCGCCGTGTGCCGCAAAGAGAGGCATTCGTTGCTGGGAGTAACGACGGGTTATCAGTGCAAGAGGTCAGGGTAAGAGTTCGGCAGCTAGAGAGACGAATCAAAACGGTAGCAAGCTTGCACAAAGATCTTACGGCGGGTGGTTGAAGTTCCGAATTGACGCGAATAGATGACGCGAGTAGATGAAAAATATCACATTTTAACAAACGAAGATGCTAAGAGCTATGACGATAGGTGGAGATTTGCGCCGAACTGGGGGTGCTCGGGCGCAGCAAATCCGCCGCCGCCCTATATCGGTGACCTTGGCCTCCGCCGTCTGTTGCGGCTCCAAAACCAAGCCGGCGTGGCATTGGGAGAGCTCGAGCACCCCCAGTCCAGCACAATTCTCCACCTATGGAGCTATAACCACTAATATTTCTCCAAATAAAAGTATTCATGCATTTTCAACACATTAAATATTCGTTTCCCTAAACATTCAGCTAATTTTGCCTTAAACATTCATTTCGTTGATTTTACGTGCAATGCTTCCATATGATATCTGAAAATAATCAGCAACCATGTTAAGAAGCACGATGACCCTCTTAATTGTCTGCATTCGCTGATTAAGCAGCAGCTAATGGCAGTGCACTCAGTTGTGTTGATGTTTGTCATCGGACTATTTATCTGACAAAGTGACGCCTCTTCTCCTTCTTACACCGGCGCGTCATGGTGTCTTGTTTACGAGTCTGCTGGAGGGAGCGGCATTCCATGCTTGTCAGCGCCCAACAGCTCCGAGACAAATGTGGTGTCACCGAGCTGGGTGGCTCAATTAACTCAAGCACCCGGAACGGGTTGGATTTCACAGCACTACATTTCATTTTTCATTTGTAGCTACAGGACAGTACTCGTCAACTGAACGATAAATCAAAGGCAATGGAAGACAACTGCAATGAAAACTTTATAATTCTCGGCGATCTAACAATTTTTCACAAGAAAGCACAAATGTAAATACAAATTAATGAAATTGATTACCTTATTCATGTGTCGCGCTTCTGACCAGCTTCATAATTCTGATTCACCTCCTTGCAATTCCACACATACTGTCAGGATGTGAACGCTCGGTTCCATCCTGTCGAATACACGTCTAATGGGCGACCTATGACTCCACTCACTCAGCTCAGCTCTAAAGCACCTCAGTTGGAAATTTATGTATCCGCTCTTTGGCACCGGCCGTTCAAATATGCCCGGTTGCTCTGCTGCAGCCGTCAGCAGTGACCGGCACTCTGTCACGTGGCTCTGGACCTCTCGCTGCGCCGGCGGCATATTTGGCGCACTTTGAGCCCTTCCCGGCTGACCGGCGGCGCGCGCGTGCCGAGCAGCGACGGTGGCGACGACGCGCGACACGCTCCTCCTTCCGGCGACGACGCGTCCACAGCTCGTCCGCACGAACGCCGCGTCAATAAATCTTTGTAGCGCGTCTTCGCGGCGGGCCCGGCGCGGTTCATTGCTAAGACAAATTATCGGCGCGGCGGGAATGCGCCGGCGGAGAGCGGACATCTGGCCCTGTGAGCGGCGCCGCCGTCGGCCCCCTGCCGTCGGCTCCGACGCGCCCCTTCCGACGCGCGCGGCCGACCGACGCGACGGCGGCGGCGCGAGGAGACCCGCCGCTCCGCCCCAGGGGAGGGTGCCGAGGGATTTGGAGGTGTGGGGTGAGGATGGGGAGCTAAAGGAGTGCGAATTGGCTCATGACTCAGTTTGCAGAAGACTGAGGGAGAATGAGTGGAGGGGCCAGGGTGCATTCTTCGGCTTTCTCATTTCTGGACATTGTGAGTCGGAAAATAATGAAACAATTAAAGGTCAGCTTCTTTTTGAAACCATACGTCCCTAAAATAAGCTCCTTCGTTCTTTCCAATCGTTTGCATGCCCATGAAGCCCTGTCATACTTCTCGCTCGCTCAGAACCTGGCCTATTGTTCCTAAATTACCCGGCCCGAGTGACCTAGCCGCTGGATTCTGCCCAGCTGGGCTGCCCAAAGGCTACTCCTCTGTCGATCACTCGAGTACCGTGACGTGTAAACGCCCGAAAACCATCGCGCTGTCGCGGTTCGACACGGTTCGGCTCTGACGCCCGAACAATGGCCGTCCGATTCTGACGTAACCCTGACACGACAGGCCGCGGCCCACTTGCGGCTGCTGGCCGTGCCGACGACGCCCGACAGCTGCAGGTGACCTTGGAATGCGGCGGCAGCTGGCCAGCCGCTGAGACAGCTGCCGGCTGCGCTGTGACAGCAGCCGCGGCCGCCTTTGAGCCGGAGCCGCCACCCGGGTGGGCCGTGCTGTTGTAACATTTACCGGGGGCCAGTGATTGTTGGCCACTGAGCCGGTCGGCTGGGCCTTCCCGGACATCAGAGATCGCCCGACGGCCTCTCCGCGGCGGGAAAGTAATGCACAAATTACTTGGGATAAATCAAATGACTTTTGATCTGTCAGATTTAAAAAAAGAGACAACAGGCAGACCATTGAGAACGTCATTCTGGAAGTGAGAATGTCCCTCTTTGGTAACTCTTTCTGTCTGAAGCCAATCTCTGAGCAGACGCCCTCTGTGCTAGCTAAGTCACATTCCATTAAATTAGTCACGCTTCCAGTGAGATACTTAGCCTGTCATTCAGCCCAGATTGGCGGCGTGACGGCGGCTGCCGCGCCGTCTGACGAGCACCGCCCAGTTTCCGGTCATGAGTTAAATACGGCCCGGGCTGTTCCCGGCTGCGAATAAAAACGTCGCGGATCCGCCTGAATCTGGCCGGAAACATGACTTTGTTCTGACACCCCGAGGGCTCCCAGAGCCAGCTCTATGGCTTCGGCCGCCTCTCCGAGCTCTCAACATTGACGGGGTGTTTTATGGATATGTGTCAGCTTAGTGAGATCAAAGAAAAAGCACGTCTGGAAAGGCTACGTTAAAACAAACAATTGTCAATTATTGTTTCTTTTCCGGTATAGTAGAATGTCGGTTACATAAGAGCAACGGCCGCATTCATGCTGTAGATCAGCAATTGAAATAAAAAGCGTGGCATAAAATGTCCTAGTATTAAAATAAGGAGCGACAAAAGGGTAGTTTCTGTAATCCGTACAGTGGCGTGACACACGTCCTTGTGACCTGACCCGACCCAGGCATGTGACCCGTCCTGGCCCAGACCTATGACCGTGACCCCAGCACTAACCGCCGCTCTCCTATGTTTCAGGTGGCGGCGTGGAGCAGGCGTCGGCAGCTGGAACTGCCACCTCCACCTCCAGCTTGGACTGTCTCTCCATGATCGTCCAGAGCATATCTCCTACCTCCACCACCGCCATTCAACAGGCGACCGACAGCGCGCCCTAGTGGCGGCCGATCGAACTGTGCACACTGCACCGTGCACGCGGGACAGTGCACGGCGTGACAGGAGCGTGCACGGAACAGTGCACAGGACCGTGCACGACGTGAACCACACGACGAACACGGAGAACTCACAGTGTGATCTAGTGGAAGGTGCTGCTGGAAGGACTAGGACAATGGCGCTGGTCGCCGAAAGATTGGGGGAATGTTGTGTGGAGGCAGAGTTGACGAGGATTTTGAGTGGGAGTGGGTTGAGAACACTTGATAGTTGATACTCACGTTTTCATAACGAGCTTGAGTGAAAAGTGCCTATTTGTGCCTTGTTAGATTGTACTGCTTTGTTGATCTGTCCTCACCAAAGACTAAAGAGGCGCTAGAAAACCAGTTGTTTCAATTATTTATTAAAATATTCGTCCTAGACTAGTTCAGGTATTCGGTACCTAGCGATGCAATGAAGAACCTGCTTTAAATACATCTTGAATATGCTGGGTGAATGTTGCTGCCAGATAGCCAAACAAAGAAAACGTCAAATAACGTTTTAACGTTAAATAACGTTAAATAACGTTATGTAACGTCATTCGCTCATGTTCTACATAACGTTAAATAACGTTATGTAGAATATGAGCGAATGGGTCTTTTCTCGGTGCCCAGTCAGTAGCACCGGATAGTCTTCGGTCATAAGATGGCAGGTTGGTTCATGTTGAAGTGAAGTTCTACACTTGCAATACTGTGAATAGATCGTTTCATTGTTCCGTGTGCGTTGACCCCTACCCGCTTTTCTCGCTCTCAGATGTGCGAGCGATGCAAAATGCGTGTTGTGTACAGAATTGTTATATGTGTAATGAAGTATGATCAGACAATCGTGTTCTGTTTGCTGTATCATTGCTGAATAAAGTGAAGAAAGTACATGCTATTTGAATGCTGATGTCATTTGTTATTGACTAGCTTCTCTTAGGCGGAGGTTCAGTTGCAGAGATCAAACAGGAGTCGAAACACTAAAGGGCGCATGCCATATATTATTTATTGCGCAAGCTTAAGTGCCGGCTCCATGGCACACTTCTTTTTTTCATTTCGTTTTCTTGTTTTTTCGGTTTCAGTAAACGATCAGCTTCATTTGATGACATTAGTGTAGCTCCACCGTGGCAGCGAAGCCGAAAAAACGAAGTCAGTAACTCGAAAAAGCGACGCGAAAAATCTAAAAAGCGACTCTAAAAAGCGAAAAAGCGAAACAACGACACTCCAAGCAAAGACCTCTATAGATCTCGGAATGCACAGGTCCATCCTTCATAACATTAGATACGCTCTATGCTCACTTCGAATGCGCTAAAATGTATATATTTCTTTGAACAAATATGCTGCATCAGTCTATCGGAACCCAAAAACGAATATTTTCGAGAATTTCGCACAGAATCATCGCCTATATAGAATGGATGCAGCCTTGTACGGAACGCACTCTGTTGTAATATCCCACAATAAACATACGCATTCTCCAGCGCTTCAGCGGGCCGAGGGAGGGCCTGAACACCCCTGTCTAACTCGGCTTCTGGGCCACGTAGTAACGTAGCAATCAAATGGCACGGTAAGAGGGGTTCAAAAGAGCGTCAAAATCACGAAGAAGGTATCTCCCACTTTTTTAGATTAGGTCAAAGGTCAGGACAGCAGAGATCATGAAAGACCAATTTTCACCTATTTCAACACTTTTTAATGAATCGGAGAACAAATGAAGCTACAGCGCGGCAGACTAAGCGCATTCGACAGATCTTTTAAAGTTTTTTCTTAGTAGTCTTCTCGTTCGAGATACGCGTTCTCTACATCCTGTCACTCTTATCAATCGCTGAATTTTTCAAAGCAAAAAATCAGTCAGTGTGGCTCTGACGAGCATAAAAATCTTTTTAGCCTAGGTTACTTGACATGACCTGGTGACCTGACCTTGAGCGACACAGACATAGCAAATCTATATAATTACTTTGGGTTTTAGTTCCATGTTGATACCCGAATCGACCTTCTTCTGTGCTTGTTCCTGTATGTTACGAATGCTATAATTTCTGGATTACAACTTTCATTTAGTACAATGTAACGAATTTTAGTATCGATAGAGTCTACAGCCTGCTGATAGCAGCTATCTTTGGCTTTCTTCGGCTTTGGCTATCTTCGGCTTTCTTTGGTTTTGGTTTCTCTGAAGTACAGCTCAATCAAAGGGGTAAATTATCGAAATAAAAGAAGGCATATTATTGGAAAGTGTAAAACGATTGCAAAGAGGCTGCAAAATACATAAGCCACATTCGTTGCTATCGGCTGATTATGCGTAAATATCTCTAAAAAAAATAACAGAACTCCGCAAAGATAAAAAAATCAAATATACTCAGCAGTCAGCTGATACCGACAATTTGATACCGCTGACAAAGTACAAATACAGTCACGAAATTGTCCGGAACGGGTGCGTACATTTAATTTTTAAAAAAAGATATATATCGCTTATACTCATGTGCAATATGAATACTTTTACTGTCAGCTGTTCAATGTACGGGTGACGATTTTTATTCAATGCTCGAGAATGGGTGGGTACTTCCAGATCTATCAAAGCACATGACATATTCAAGTGTGATAGCCAGGTATGTTTTCCGTCTACGGCCTACGTCGCACTTTCCTCCCACCGCTATCACGTCTCACTCTGGCAGCTATAACCTCTCCGCGGGCTGACCTTTGTGCCGCATAGCTGGGAACGCCTCACCCCGTCCTCGCGGCCGGTGCATTGTTCTGCTGTCACGACCTATTGATGTTGGCTGGTGGCTGGTGATTGCCGGGCACCAGCCCCGCCTCCTATCACCAACTGCCGACCACTGTCCGCTCTCATTAGAAGGCACAACGCCGCGCTAAATCGTTAATCGTCACCATGACAGCTAGAACATCTCGTACAAGATGACAAATGGCCTAATCGCGAAACCCAACCGTGATAGAGGAAGACATCAGAGCCTGCGAAAACAGACGCGCACGATTAATGGTGCCGCTTGTTTCCCGTTTTCAACACTATCAGATTGTAATGCCAGGCAAATCTAGTCGCGGTGGAAATAGACCCCGCGCCGGTGTAAGAAGTCGCGCGAATGGAGCGCTGAGAAATCAGACGTCAGCTCCCAACTACCTACCACAGCAGAAACCTAGACAGTTCACCGAGAAACGTGCTTACAGTGGTCGACAGGAGCTTTGTTTTCGGCCAGAAAAACGCTCTTCTGGCGACCGGCCGTCGCCCTGGGGCATTGCCCATTTCTCAGCGGGCTGCGATGGAGAGAGGCTCTCAGATCGGGGACAGGACATTGGCACAGCCGGCCTGCCCCTGTCGTCGGCTATTCCAGTCTTACCCCGCCGCGGCCAGGGTGGCGCCACCCCCAGCTCACGGCGAGTCGTACATCTGTGAAAAAAGGAACGTTTTGCATGTTGTCACTTGTAGAGAGTAATAATGGTCATCATCAATCACTATCGTGGTGGACGGGTCCCCAAATGTTCATCTTCCCGCTCCGTCCCATGTCATCACCTGATGTCATCGCCCGACGCTCTCCCCTCGCCACCTCGTGAGGGCCACCCGGTCCGTCGGACCACCACCGCTCCTTCGTCTCCCCTGTCTGTTCGACGAACTGTCCCGTCTATACCGAGGAACGCATATGTCTGCCGGAGGATCCACCTCACCACACTCTAACGCCGGAGCGAGCCGCTCCCCTCCGCATCGCGCCCTCGCGGTCGCCACGGTCGGTCATGTGTCCCCATCCTCGTCGACGACCAGACTACGACACATTAACCCGCGCCCCACTGGGGTCTGCGTATAACACGCCCTACTGGGGGGGGGGGGGGCTATTCATAGCCCCCCCTCCTAACTCCGAAACTACTGGGCCGATCGTCAAAATTCAAACGGCGTCTGATAGCCCCGGAAAAACTGTCGAGCGAAACCTAATTTCATTGACCTCGAGGTCACCGATGACGTCACAGGTCAGGTCAAAGTAAAAATTATTAGCATTTTGGCTTGTTCACGTTTTGGGCTCTGGCCGCCGGCTTACAAGTCAGATCAGGCTCATTTTTGGTTCACACACTCGTGAACAGATGCTCTAGATACTCTGAGGGTACCAAACTTGTACTTTGATTTTCAGGTCAAGGTCAGGTCATCACAGGTCACGAAAATATTATATCATCCGTCGGTCACGTGACACATGTTTTATGGTCCATTTAGGCCAAGCATTTCGAATTTGATGTCGTCTGTGTCATTCGAGGTCATTTTGAGTCAAATTTAGCTTAGGTCAGGTCATTTTCAGGTCAAAAAAGGTCAAATTTTGAAGTTAAAATTTTTCAACAAAAAAGGTGTCTATTGGATGCAGTTTGAGCTCAGGAACACGATGGTGCTATTTATATTGGCGTACGATGTCAAATTCGTGCTGAAAAAATTGATTTGAAAAATTAATAATTGTTAATTTTTTTGCAATAATGCGTATAACTTGGCCATTTTTGAAGATATTTAGCTAAAACTTGCTAGAGTTAGTCATAATAATGCGTTCTATCACATATATTCCGGTTTTTTCGAAAAGCCAAGACATTTTTGAAAAAAATGTAAAAATATAAATTATGATTTTTTTTATATAAAATTTTCGAAATTTTCCAAATTTCGAAAATCCGAGATAGCAGTTTGATAGCGCAGTCAATTCTGAGTCCTCTCATGCAAAGAAATTGGATCTAGCTTAAAAACTGAGCTCTTGGGAGCGATTGCCGTGGTTCAATGTTTTGCGTCGAAATCGGCCGAACATGACGTCACTCTGACGTCATTTCCGGCCGACCTATGGTAGGTACGAAGTTCAAATTTTGACACAAGGTGTCAAATCGATGCAGCCGAAGGTACTGAAAGTTTGGCGTCCATACGTCAAGCGGTTTGGAAGTTATTGCAGAAAAACGGGAGGGGGGGCTATAAATAGCCCCCCCCCAGTGGGGCGCGGGTTAATCCCCCGTATTGTGACGTCACGTGATGCATGCCTGACGTGCGCCGGCGCCGTCTCCGCTCGCCAGAAATGCCGCCGCCGCCGCCGCGCCGCCGCCGCCGCCGCCGCCGGCACGGCGCCTCCACTATAAACCCGATACTAGAATCAGGGTTGAAACTAATTGTTGCGTCGTCACCGGCGGGCTCCAGCGTCGGCGACGATAAATCAGGAGGGGAACAGGTGCAGGGGGCCCGGCAGCGCCTAATGGACCAGTTAACGTTCATTGTGATAAAAACGCCGTGCTGTACGCCCGGAGGCGGTATTTACATATACCGTCACCGACTTATAGTGCCTCGGGCGAGAGACACCGGTAGCGGTATCAGACGTTTGTGTCAGACGCGGCCAGACATCGCGCCGGAGGTGGAGGCTTGCGTTACACGCTGGTTTTCATCGGCGACGACGTAGAGGAGTAATTAATCGTCCTCTCGTTATCGGATAGCAGTGATAGCGCGTGAGGCGGACGGGCTCTGAGGTGTGAACTTCCCGTTGAGGAAGGGGAGTTGAAGGGCACAGGAGACTAACAACCTGCAGTTGTAACCTCTGCGAATATTTAACA